TTGGACGATAGGACTGCTGTGTCCCAGTCATGTGGAGATCAGGTCAGGACCTGATCTCCACATGACTGGGAAAGCGTTCCGTTCATGGAGCATGGACAGCTCTCCCAGCCATGGGGGATCCTGTGCCCTCTGCCAGCCCCAGGGCTGCCACCCAAGGGAGCCTGGAGCTCCCCCTGGTGGCTGCAGAGAGGCATAGCAGGGCAAGAGCAGCCCTGGACCGGTGGCTGCTCCTGTCAGACACAATTTGCTCTTGATGAGGGCACACATGTAGACATGCACCCCAGAGCACTTTAATGAGCCTTAATCTTCTGAGAAGAAAATTCAGGCACATTAATTGCATATATAGATGGACCCAGTAAAGTAATCACATTTTTCACTGGAAATAAATGGTTATCTAGCTCAGGCAGTGTGTTGAGCTGAAAACCAGAGGATTAGTTGTTTAATGGCAGAAAAGAGTTCACTTCTTTAGATAAGTCATGCCTCTTGTGAATTCATATGTGTATTGCTTTGGGCACATCTGAATTCTGAGCATTCCATTCTTTCAATTGAAGAGGTAAAGAAGAAATATTTTACTAAAGTAGGGAAACCACAACTGTTACATATCTCTCTACAGCATTTCAGCAAAGTGTTCGCTTGAAATGATTTGCTGACCAAAACTTGTTTAACACTTAAAGTACATTATAAAGATGACATAAAAGAAAAGCAGAGCTGCAGAGAAATGCAGAGAAAGTATTTTTAAGGGTTTTTTTCAAGCAATCTAAGTCTTCTAGTCTTGAGAGTGATTGTTTCTATTCCTTTGTGACATATTTTCCTCCTAGCAATTATGAAAGCTTTCTGTTAAAAAAACCCCCTCTTATTATTTTCCATAAACTTACTAATATCTGCATTTGAGTCAATTATCTTATTGCAAATTTATAGTTCTAATTAATGGTTCTGAATATCTCTGATATTTCATAAGATAATTCTTTGATGGTTGGTCATTGTAGCTGCAATATAAAATAATTATATCTTAAAATTGATATAGTATTGTATCATAAACACTGTGATTTATCAGGGTAGTACTTGTAAGGTTCAACAAATGAATGGCTGGCAATAATTGACATTTGTTCAATTCTAACAAGACCTTTTAATATAAATGAACATATCTGGTATTTTAAATTGAATATCTTTTAAACTAAGCTTCAAGATGTATTTTCTAACTGAAGGTTTTTAATTTATTTTTATATGATCTTGAAGTTTCAATTAACACTGTGGGGGAAGAACAGGGCAAACTGTGTGTGCTCAATGCCAGATGCCAATGTGCTGAGAGTCCAACAAGTAAAGGAATCCTCCCTAAGGCAAGAAAAGTGCTGTGTGGCAACTTCCTAGAAACTGGAGAAGGCCCCATATTTGTAGGCTTGCAGTGAGAGGACTGAAAGATTTTCTGCTCCTTCCCCCCGCCCACCTCAACAGCTCAGGCCGTGTTCTCATGCCAGGGACCCTTCATGGAGATCGGCTTTGCAACAGACCAGGGCTGTACAGCTTCTTTTTTTATGGCCTTCCAAATCCAGAGTCACCTTGCACAAGATCCAGCACTCTGGTTACTGAGATAGGGGGTCTAGATTTGGCCTAAATGAATATGCCAAATGTACCCCTGTGATAGTTGCCCAAATCCCCTAACTAGCAGTAAAGACAGAAACTAAACAAAAGCTCAGAAGAATAATTATGAATTCAAACATTAGCAAGTTTTTCTCTGCTTTCAAGGTAAATTCCTGTTGAGTCTGCACAAGCTCTCTATTGTTGAATCTCTCACAAGATGAGGTTACAGTAAATCCAGGCACTGGTAGATTTGTTCTAACAATGTCTACACCAGGAAATACACATGCTTTGGTAACATCTGAGTGGTATACCATATTTTCTTGGATACAACATGCCCAGAATAAAATTGATGCTTTGTTTTTGAAAGGCATAGTGAAGAAAAAAAGATTTTTCCAAAAGCCAAAACCTTAGATGTTGCTTGAAGATTGGTCTCCATGGGTGGACCTCTGATTTTGACAAGAGCTCCAGACCTGCAAAATAGGAGGAGAGAGATCAGGAGCAGCTAGCCGACAGCAAACGTGGCCTGAGAAAGGTTATCTTGATTTGTGGAACATCAAGACGGTTAAACAGGGAGAAATGATCATTAACACCTGTGAAGAACAAGGAGCCACTGAAAATTGACCCCCTCAACTGCCTAAATAGTAATGGTACTGCTGCTGCACTCTTGAGGAGGAATCAAAGTGCAGTGCTTCTACTCTGGGCAGAAAATCAACTTTCATGTTTAATGTGCCCCCTAATTTTGAGGAGCTGATTTTTGGGGAAAGGTGCATATGGTATGTGAGTAAATATGGCATATACTATTCTAACTAGCTTTGCCCACAGAGCACACACAGATTTAATCAGACATGTATTATAAAGGTAAAGGAATTTTGTTGATCTCTTATGTATTTCTCATCTCAAAGTATGTACACCAATAAAGTGGCAAATCCATTATTTGATCTTTAAATAGCTTCTGAGGCAGTTGTTTGATTCAGTTTTTCTGCTGTGTCTTCATTGTATTCACATGCATTGGTGTTATAAACTCACTCGCTATTACCTGCAAGTTTCCTGAGGTGACTTGTCATAGTTGGGGTTGAAAGTTATCATTTAAATCTCTCTGTGCCATTTATGTTTACAGATGCAAGTCAAGATGTTACAGTGTCAGCTGGTGGCTACACAAGCTTTTCTAATTTTCTAATTGAATATTAAGTGGTGACTTTTTTTCACTCCAGCTGTGGGACTTATTTTTTTTATACTGCCCTCTGTCTGCCAAGAACTTGCCATCATAGACCAAAGGCAACAGTGAGAAAAATGGCTGTGTGTGTTATAGGACGGCTGTGAATTTGTCAGAAAACAGTGTAAGTGGTTATAGACGTGTGTGATTTATATGAATTTGGCATTCAGAGGGCATGGATAACATCTGTAACTTGTACATGAAGAGGTAGGAATCAGGAATAGCACCTAATGGGATGGGATAAGAAAAAGCAAATGGTTTACCTGTTTTTCATAGAATCCTTTGTTAGTCTCCCACAGCAAGTCATGCTTATTTTTTACTTTCTGTATGTCAAATTGGTACAAAGTATATTGCTTTCCAGGGATACATGCTTTTAATTATTCATATATTCTGATCATGTTACAAAAGTCATGTAGCTAACATTTTAAGTGATGTTAGCTAAATTTAGTTGTTAATATTTTTCCCTGCTTTCAAAATATAATTTAGTGGAAATTCAGTGCAACTCTGACCTAAACTGTAGTGGTAGAGAAAAAATTATCTACTAGATATAAATATGTTAAGTAAAGCAACTATCCCATAGTCTGTTCACAGGCGTATTTACTAAATAAGTCTTGATTTTCCTGTCACACTTATCTTACACCTGTAAGTCCACTAGCTTCAACCACATGACTGATCATTTACATCATTTTAAGAAAGAGGGGAATCAAGACTCAACCAGAAAAATGCCGACTGAAAGACACCAGGATGCTGACAAATACAGAATAAGAAAATGTACCATATTTACTTGACACTATGATGAGGGTTTTCACCCTAATCAACATGGGGGGAAGCCCCTCATCTTAAATTCACATACAAAGGGTGGGAGGGCATGGTGTGGCATGGCAGCAGGCAGCTACTATGGTTCTGGCCCTGGGTTAGGGTCAGAGACTTGGACCCATAGCAGCTGCCTGAACCCCACTCTGCTTACCCTCTCCAGTTTCTGCCTTCTTTTCCCCCTCCCCCCCCTTATTGTTAGGTGCCCCTTGGCTCAGCTCAGGCTGGATTGCCTCCTGGGCATGAAGCACACAGAAACTCCATCCCCTGCCCAGCCAATCAACCATGCCAATGTTGCTGCATGGTCTGGCAAGGGCTGGGTTTCTACATACTGTTCTGTGACCTGGGAGGTAACAGCCCCAAGCAGCATCTGGCAGTAAGCAGGGGATGACACAAAGGGCAAAAACTCTGGGGAGTAAGGGGAGAATGGGCAAAGGAAAGACTGGGGAGCTGGGGGTGAAAGGTTCAGGTGGGGGGGGGCAGAAAGGCTGCAGGGGGGAAGAAGGGGAGGTAGAGGGCAAGGGGGTTTCCCCATCAGCCACCAGACCCCTCCACTGCTTTTCCTACTTTTGCAGGGAGAGGGCAGGGGTGAAGGAGAGCTAAATTTAAGATAGCTCTCCAATAATTAGATTCTATTCCTGAAAAAATTATAACAAATGTATAAGTTTCCCAATTATAGAATCAAATTATTGGGAAGGGGGTCATCTTGAATTCAGGGTAGTCTTAGTTTTGAGTAAACATGGTAACCCAGATAGCTTTACCGGGTACATGGCTGTCAAAGGTGCACTGTGCAGTGAATATAGAAGACATGAGAATAACAAAGGAACACACAGGATCTGCAAAATTAGGATTGCTGTTTTGTGAAAAATATTGCTGACACCTTTTATGAATGGTGGCTGTTAAAACAATCTTTATATTAAAGCAAACAAATCACACATCCATTCCTTAATATAGACAATGTAATGTAATTATGAAGGGTCTGCATACATTTACCTTGTTCACATTTTTTTTTTTTTTTAAATCAATGCATTTACCTTTAAAGAAGTGCATTTATTATGATTTGTCAGAAGTAACAGGGAGTATCATGTCTGGGCACAAATTAACATATTATCTATCTGCATGGCCATCTCCCATAAGCTCTTGGGAAGTGTTCAGATGTTTGTTGCTAGCAGGGAAACTCCTGGGATTCTGGCTGTTAATGTTACCCTTTTATAGTTCTCATGGCAGATGAACTGACTTTCACAGGACACAATTATCACAGTGTTCAAGGAAAAGTGAAGAGTAAATCCAGGACAGCACTGCTGGTGATTAGAAAGAAAGCCATTTTAATTAAAAATCGACCATTTTACTAATAGAGCCAAGGATAAAGAAAGAAAAAAAATCTCTGTGCAAAGTGAAACCATAGGTCTTTTTAATATGCAAAACAATATTACACATATCTTGTCCTATACTGAGGGCATTTATTCATGCCATGTAGAACAGCAAGATGAACATAAATTATTTGTTGGAGACTTGTTTCCACTTAAATTATTACTGTCACTGATCCTGCGTTCTATGATCTTGTAGTTAAATGAAAAAAGAAACTATACAGAAGGACTCCACCTCCTCCTCAGTAATTAGAAATGAGCTGCCATTGATGTAAGTGTAGTTTTTCAGTTGTACTCTGCAAATCATGAATGGTCCTCAAGGCCATGGTAAGTGGTCCAGAGCTGCCCCCTCTGCCTTTTTGATCAAAAGTTTGATGCTAAAGGTAAGAAGTGGCCCAGAAGAAATTTGGAGGGTTGGCAATGGTCCATTGGTCCCAAATATTTGGGAACCACGTGCATAAGTAATCTCCAGTAAAAATAAATACACACATAAACAAACGCACAGAGACAGAAAGCAAGGAGTCCTTAATAGTTAAGATGAGCCATAGCAGTGACCCAGCTGTGTTAATGGTCACTGTGGTGCTCTAACAGTGTAGCAAGGCCTTGCCCCAGGGGGTGGCCATGACGTCTGAGTGGCTGCTCAGCCCTTGCCTAGGCAGTCTTTCTTCAGCGCTCCCCCTTCACTCACATGCCACACCTTGGTGTTACTGTCTTTTAGAAAAAGAGAGGTTTCTCTAAAGTTTCCCAAGTCAGATCTCCTCCCGTGAACACAGGTATTTGTGCTCATTGCCTTAAGAGCCAATTAAGTAGCCATGGCCTTAGGTCTCCAATGGCCTATTCCTTTGCAGTGAGCAAGCTGTAGGCAGAGAGCACTTGACTAACAACAGGTGCAACCCTTTACCCTGATGGGCCTCTTGCCTGACTGACTGGGCAGCAGGGTTTTTGCCACTGCCTGGTCTCTCTTGCTGCAGTTTCTCTTCTAAAAGTAATAAGAGCCACCAGCTCTCTAATGCAAAGATTATCCAGAAGTGTTCCTACAAGCTAGCTCCGTTGCCTCTGCTTCCCATTTCCACCTGGGTATCCTGGCTGTACACTCCAGGAGGAGACAAGAATAAGTTGCATTTGGTCACTGAAGTCATAGCCACTACTACTGATCTTGAGAGGGAGATTCTCTAAGTATGGTTAACTGAATGTACCCGTTGTGCTTGATTTAAGATTATTGGAGCTGATACCTAGCAAATCATTTGTGAATGCAAGACTATGTTGGCATGCACAGTACTAAATAGAAAAACAACAAACATAATGCTCTCTGAAATCTCAAGTGTTTAAGTTATTATTTTGAACAGGAGCGTGGATGATTGCTTTTTTCTAGTTCCATTTTTCTAGCATTCCTGAAAATAATTAGTATTTACGGTACTTGCATTTCACTTCTTTTGAAAGCCTTAGTGCTGAAATGACAATCCTCTGTTCATCAGCTTCTTGTACTACAGGAGATAGACCAAAGAGGTACTGCACTGTGCTCTTCATTTCAGAAAATGACAGAGATAAGAAAAATAATGGCAGTATTATTAGTTGAAGACGTACCCTGACAATTTGTCAGAAATGAACGGGCAAAAGCTCATACTGGACAGTCATAAATGCTGTTTGCATCTAAACAAATCCTTTCTCCATCACACTAATATACAGTTCCATAATTATTAAGCATCTCAACAAGATTTAATTTTTTTTTAATACTATCCAATAAACGATGTTAAAAGCCAATCAAGGCTGCTAAGTCAAGTACTCATAAGTCAGGAAATGTAACAATTAAGGTAATTCATGTCAGCTAAATTTGGCCCTGTTGTATGTATGCATTATGATTTGGTCTTTAATGGCATGGTAAGTGATTGCTTGTTCAATATTTCACAATAAATGTGTGGCAACAATTCTTATTACTAATAACATTATTAATTTTCCTACAGTGGATTCCATCATCATTTATTTGAGCACTTCACAACTGTTAATTAATCTTTACAACACCACTCTGAGGTGTTGCAGTATTACTATACTCATTTTACAGCTGAAATCCTTAGGGGCAGAGAGATAAAGGCCTAACTAGTCAAGTGTCCACTATTTTTGGATCCCTAGCTTCAAATACCTGGAAGTAATTGTCCAATGTACTTTGCTTTTTTGTAGTACTTTATACATTCAAAGCACAATTCCAACTTTTTACCATTTCAGATGCTCGGCACTTTCTACAAATCAAGCCACTGCCATCTTACTTTGATAATGAAATGAAGGACAAACAATAAGGGTGGATTTCCATTTCCTTTTCAATGTCTATAAGGCAGTTTTCTGGCTGTCTCCCTGACAGTCTGAATGTACACATTTGCAGATCTGCAGCACAGCAGAAGTTGAATTGCTACCTGCACATAAGTGCCCAAAATGCCACTTAGGTGGCTAGAAAGTTGTCATTTATAAGCACAGGGGAAAATAGATTTCAACCCTAAGTGATGGACATTGAAATTGTTGTCTTAAGTGACTGCACTAGTATCAGTAAGAAAATCTGTGGAAAAAGTAAGGATAAAGTCCAGTTCCTAAGGGTGACTGTCAGCTGCCTCAATACTGAGCACTTTTTTCTGTAACAGCCCAGGAACTTAAGATACTCACATAGGGTGTGAGAAAGTGACAGATGTAGGCCTTGAATTGAGAGATTCCTCATTGCAGGCATCATAATTACTGTGCTATTGAGTCAGCATCTTGACTACTCCTGTCTGGCCCAATTCATTTCTGAGAGAAAGTGGAAGGCAAGCTTCTTTGGGTAGATGTGTGATATCTTTTATTAGACCAACTGAGTAGCTGGAAAAAAGTTCTTTGCAAGCTTTTGCACACAAGCACCCTTCTTCAGGCATAGGGAGTTTCTGCTGTTCTGAGATCTCCAAGGAATGAAAGAAGCTAAAAGTGTGACAGGATGTCAGTGAGAATTTAAAATCCCCATGAATCACACACCATTCGTTATGACATACCACCCTTCCCTGGAACCTTCACAGAAAATCCTCAAACAATTGTAATCTATACTAGAAGAAGACCTCATTCTTAAAGAGATCTTTCCAGAACCATCCATCCTAGCCTTTAAACAAGCACCAAACCTTGCTAACCTCATTACCAGAAGCAAACTTCCCATGGCCCAAGCCACACCAAATGGATCCAGACCATGCCAAGATAAGAAATGCAAACCTGCCACCACATCTCCACCACTCCCACAATAACCACACCAAATGCCCTGGTGGAAAATATGTAGGACAAACCAAACAACAACTGCGCAACAGAATGAATGCACACTGAAAATCTATCATATCAAAGACAAAAATATCCAATTAACTCTGGGTGCACACTTCTCACAGGACAATCACTCCCTCTCTGATCTCTCAGTTCTAGTCCTCAAAGGGAACTTGCAAAACACCTTTTGTAGACAAGCCTATGAACTTCATAAATCTACTGGATACAAAAAATCATGGACTCAATATAGACATTGGGTGTATGACACATTCCAACCTGCCTGACATCTAATTCACCAGGTATCTGCCTGACCTTCCCATTTACACTCCCCTACCTTCCTTTTCTACCCTTTGTCTGTCTAATTTCCAGCTATTTAGTTTGTCACAGACTGCCTCTTTTCTACCTTGGAGAACTCAACTACAGTGCTCTCCCTTACTTACCTTTGGCACTATTTCCACTTAGTTTCTCCCCCTCCCTTCCCTTCTCTACCCTTTGTTTTTCTAATTTCCACCTATTTACATTCTCACTGACACCCTGCCACACTTTTAGCTTCTTTCATTCCTTGGAGATCTCAGAACAGCAGAGACTCCCTATGCCTGAAGAAGTGTGCTTGCAAAACCTTGCAAAAAACTACTCAGTTGGTCTAATGAAAGATATTAGACCAACTATTCCGTTGGTCTAATAAAAGATATCACATCTCCCCGAAGAAGCTTGCCTGCCTATGTCCTTAGACTAACAAGGCTACAACTGTCTCTAGTGGGTTATGGAATAGAGAAAATCCCACACAATTTACTGATTCGTTTTGATGCACTGGCTGGGGGAGTAGTTAGCTGATTGCACGATTTCACAATGATTACACACTTAATTTATACAACACAATTTTATTTTAAAACTCTTTGCTACGTATATAACACTGCTTAGCTTTAAGAAACACCACAAACATTAAGAACTCAATAATTACATATATCAGAAACAATGCTCCAAATGCACTTCCTTCCCAAACAATGCTATAAGAATTAGTGTTACAAAAACAACTACAATTACAACTAAAAGTTAAATTTGAATCAATACTGTTATTTTTCATAATATACTTACAATCCTAGAATTCCGAGAAGCCAAATACCAAAATATGGTTTCATTCCTCAGTAATACGATTTAATGGGTTGGCCTCAGTAGTACGGTTCAATAGGCTGGCCTCAGCAATACGACACTTGCGATTCTTCCTTCGTTGTTCTACAAGTATAGTCACCTCCAAATTGGGACAGTAAGTTACAGTTTTTATTGAGTGAGCTGCCGTCTTGGGCCACTCCTACTCAAACCTGTCACTACTCCCAAATTTGGGCTCGGATCTTACTCAACAGATTCTTTTGCTTAATAATTAGTTTCTTTTGTTGAGCATTTTAAATTACCTTTGGGGAACTTCCATATCACTGTAAGTGACCTTTTCTTACCAATCTGGTCAATAGACTCTAGGGTTTGATCTCTTGGAACTCAGGATATTTGCTCTTTGTAAAAGACTTCTAAAGATAACATTCAAATTAAGACTTTAAACAAAGTCAGGACCTTTTGCACGTAGTCCAACACAATGACCTAGATAAGGAGATAAATCTTATCTTCTTCCTGAAACTGGCTAATGGGCAACCATCACAAACATTCAATATGACAACAACCAAAAACCCTTAGAGAAAGTAGAACATCTTCCACAAAAGATAATGAGAGCTCTACCCCAGAATACCAAATAAGTGCTCTGACTACTGACCTGGGATGTGCTATGACCCAGGTTCAAGTCCCTGGTCTGAATCAGGAAAAGCAGGGACTACAAGCTTTGCCTCTTACATTACAGGGGAGTGCTTGAATCCAGTAGTTCTCAACTTTTTAGACTTGAGGCACCCCTTGTTTGACTCAAGGTATCCCTCCCATAACTTTCGTGAATTGATCAGAACCCCATTTCAAAAGCTAACTCATGTATTACCTCAAGGGATTGGATCCAGGTGGGTGCAGTGGTGTGGATGCACTCCCCTCTTTCACTTGACTGTGCTCTGGAAAGAACAGGTGGGGATTTTTTAAGCTCCTTAAGCAAGTAAGAATCCCTTCTCCCTTCCCTTCATGCTCAGTGGCACTTCTGCTCCCCTTCTCTCCCCACATTCTCTCACCCACTGCTGCCACTGTCTCCAACTGTCCTGGGGACAGAGGTAGAAGGAGGCTCCAGAGCTGCTCCTGCCTGCCCTAATTGTACACAGTTTCCTGCTTCCTGTCTAGACCCCCTGGGTGTTCCCTGTCAGCCCAGGAGCAGGCACAAGGGAAGGGAGCCTGCCTGCTGTCTCCAGCTGAGCCTGGCTTCATGCACAACCCGGATGAAACAGGGAAGGAGCAGCTCTGGATTCCTCCCTGCTGGCCCCCAGGTCAGCTGAGGACAGTGGCAGCAGCAGCAATGGGTGGGAGAGAGGAGGAGGGAATGTGTAAATCAGCATGGAGGGGAAGTGGGAGGGAAGATTTTTATCTGCTTGAGGGACTTTTAAAAGTCCCTCGTTACTGCTTCTATGGCACAGTCTACCCATCCTGGTGTGGGGGATGGGGTAGGAATGGGAGTGCAGGTAACTCTGCAGCACAGGTTGCTGCTCCTGTACCCCCTTTCTGAAATCCTGGATCTGCTTTTGCTTACCTCCTTGCAAAGGGGCTGGGCAGTGGGGGGCAGCCTGAGTCTGCACTTGTCTCCTCCCTCTGCTTATCTCCTCATAGCACCCCCCAAAAGATCTCCCAGCACCCTAGCTGAGAATCACTGCCCTAATCACTTGGATGTTCTGGACTATAGGATGGCAGTCTTCAACCAGAAATACCATCCAATACCTGAGAAACCATCCTGCACTCAAGTTTCATCAGAACTGGTGTGGTCTGGTAGGATGCTTGCATTTTCTGATGAAAAGCATTTCACTAATAAATTCCTAACTAGCTCTAGTAAAGGGTTAACTTCAACTTAACAAAGATTTGTTCAGGATCTATGTACTAGGCATTGAGTTGAAAGGTTTAAAGGGCTTGTGGCTATCTTGCATTTCTAAGTTAATGATTAATATTATAGCTCAGATATTATGGCAGCCACGATGGCACTCAATCAGGTTGTAATGAGTTATTTGTATCTAAGGAAAAGGAAGGCACATTTGAAGTGAGATACTGTGGAGTATCTCATTTAAAAAAAAATGACAATGTCCCCTTCATGCTAACAAACAGGATGGCTGGCTCCCCTTCAATGGGGGGCCAACTCTGAGGACAGCTTTTGATTGGGCACAAACAACTCTCTTATTTGTGGAGCATGGCAGCAAATCCTACTAGAGCCATGGCCAATGAGGGCTGGGTTTGATGTGTGTTGTCATAAATGCTCCACCCATTTAGTTGTTTTTCTTTTGGTTCTATTGACGGTTCTGTGCACTTGTTAGCAGTCACTGGGAGAGCAGCATTTGCCAGACAGAATATGGATTCTTGGTCTAATAAGGTATTTCCCTCTCTCTCCCCTTAGTCCAACCCTTTTTTAAGTTGTAGCATAAAATCTGTTTCACCCTGTAAAGGACGTGTTAGATCACAGAGCCCATTCCCTTGTAAACACAAGATATAATCCCCCCTTGCAGAAAATGTATAAGATTAAAAACTAACATTCCTGTTCTTGCAAACTATACATTTCTCAAAGCAATTGGCTAACATGCTGGGGTGGGGGGGAGGGCGGGGTTAGCTCTTGATTAGAAGCTGACATGCTGTAAGATGAGTTGAGCTGTTTGTCATCGTTGTTTACGCTGCCCACCATTAGTCACGGTGTTTAATGTGGCATGTGAAATCCTTGTGACGTGGGAATGAGCGCGTGTGAATAAGCCCTTTCAGTGTTTATTCCACCCTGTGAAAAGAGCATGTTCTTGGCAATGTCTGAGTCTGGGCTAATGGAAAGTTCAGACCTTTGTTTTCTTGGAGAAGGAGAAAGACCTTGTTTGACTTCCTGGCATGACTGTGAGATATTTAGTACTGATAGCTAGTACTGACATCACTGGCATTAGCTGCATTGTATTGATAGGTATTCCCAAGAGAAGAAGGGGTATCTGGGGACAGGTGTTTGAGGCAGTACACCTGGAGAGGCTTAGGAGCTGGATCTGTCTGTCTGACATAAAAACATGTCTAGTACATACATTTACTGGGGCTGTTTATCAGTGTATGTGCACTCTCTCTCTAAAGCCCTAGCAAAAAAAGACCAGGCAAGAGGAGAGCTGAGGAAGGTCCTAGGTAGAAGCTCTATAGCAGGGAAGATTTTAAAAGTATTTAGGGCCCGAGTGAGATGGTTAGAAGCATTTGAGTACCTCTAAAATCTGAACCCACATTTCTCTCTATCTCATCATCTGCAAAATAAATGGGTAATGAGGTACTTTCATATTGTCTGCAGGTTTTCTGAGGATAAACATAAAGATTGTGAAGTGCTGAAATATTTAATGGGGGACATATAAGTACCTAAATTCACAGACCCAGTAAAGGTGGGGGGAGGGGGAGAGAGCGAGAGAAAGAGAAATTAGCTTTTGTAATAATACATTCTTCTTTTAGTAAAATTTCATGTTCAGTCTTAGTGGAAGGTGAATCCTTGATCATTGTTTTGTGATTTGTCATAAATTTACCTCTTCTGAAATGGTATAAATAAGAGAAAAGGAAAATGTTCAAGTCAAACCTGCTCCAAACCCTTGTTTGATAATCCTAGGGACTGAATTGCACTTTGCCAGCTTCTGTACTTCTGCAAACTCAGAAGAATGGCAAAACCCAGACCAGCTCCTTAGTGCAATGGGAGGGGAATTGAAAATATTTGTAAATCATTTGCCTTCACTAAGGAAGGTGGTAAGGATGAGCACGACAAATATACAAAAAAAAAATTGAGGAAGAGTTCATTCCAAAATGGAAATGTAAGGCCTAGAGGGTATTCTTGTGTTTATACCAAAAGTGGGAGAGTCCCAGGGAAGGCTGAAGCCTCAATAAATATGAACAACACAAACACTGATTTTGGCACCCAGTATTGACAAAACCATGAGTCTGGCCCCAAAACATCATGAAGTTTTTTTTTAAATTGTGAGATTTAAAAAAACAGTGCATCAGGGGGGCTTTTTGTTTACCTTCAGGTTAGCAGTCCTTCAGGTTACATTTTTCAAACTTTCTTTTTGCGCAACCCTGAGGGCTAAACACATTCCTTTTCTAAATATGTGACGGGGAAAACCATAGGACAGAAGAGACGAGCTTGTAGGAACACATCCAGGAAAGGTCTGTCACAGCAAAGGGTAGGGTAAGTAGGGTGAAAGATGGGGTCAGGAATAAAAAGGGAGCAGAAGCGATGAGTGCTCCAGGCAGCCAATTGCTCAGGGGCCACCACTCCTCCTTGTCTCCCGGGCACTGCTCCTTGAGGCAGGAAGCCTTTTCACATGAGCCCCATGTAGAAGGGAAAGCCACCTTGAGGGTTTTGTCTTAATGAAAGATGTTTTTTTCTTGGAACTGAAAGATGTTCAGTGTCTTGGAACCACATTCATGAACCAGCTTGAACAGTTAATCTCTACCTGAGCCATGAACGTTGCATGCCTCCCGAGGCTGGAAGGTGCATGGTGACTGCCTGCAGGCACTGCCGGCAGTGTTGGCAGCAACAAATCTCAGGGGGTGCACCGCCAATCTCAGGGGGTGCACATGCACCTGCGTGCACCCCCTACGCGTCATCTGAGCACAAGATAGGAGTCTCAAAAAATATATCTATATCAGGTTGCCAAACCATTAAAAGCCAGTCCAGGTCAAATCTTGTGTGAGCATAAAATAGAATGTGTGCGTGTATATGTGTAGTGTTTATGTACATACAGCCACATGGATCATTTCACCCACCCCTAGAACATGGCGGCAGTCCAGGCTGGAGACCCATCAATGTTTAACAGCACACAGCTGTGCTAAACAGCTGTATAAGAAAACAATGAAAAGCAATGTAGCCATTTGAAATGATGTAATATTGGTAAGTTATCCAGTGATCTGAAATGGCAGATCCGCCTATACTTGCAGAGACTGCTTTGGGATCTGATGTGATGGGCTAGCTGGCAGTGACTTAGCCCAGGGGTTTTGAAACGGCAAAAGATGATTGAAGGACTTGGGATTCCCTTTCCTCACCAATCTGGTAATGATTTGACCCAGGGGTTTTGAAGGGGTAAAAGATGATTGGAGGACTTGGGATTCTCTTTCCTCAACAATCAGGCCCCAGAGACTCACCCTCCGTGTTCCCTGATTGGCCCCTTGGGTCACCTGGAGGGGGATAAAAGGGGCAGCACGGCTGACTCAGGGAAGAGATTAGCGAGGGACCATGAGGAAGGAGCTTCAAAGAGTTGGCAAGAGCTGGGCCAGCAGGGCGGGAGTAGTTGCCCCAGAAGAGCCTGAAGGAGCAGGACCTGTAGGCAGCAGTTGGGCCCTCAGCATCACGGTGTGTGTGGCCGGCAGGAGAGGCTTCCTGCTGGGCTCCAGGATTGCCTACGAGAGGCTGTGGCCAGCAGGAGAGGCTTCCCGCTTCAGCAAGGATCTGAGCAGCGACCTGAGGGGTTCCTAGCTCAGCTTGCAGCTCCTCCAGTCGGAGACCAGGCAGCTCGATGTGAAGACAGGGCTCCAGGAAGGTCAAGACCCCTAGCAGCTTAAAGCAGTACCAGCACTGGTGGCTGTGTTGTAGTGTTTCTGCCTACCACACGGGAGATCCACATTCAAGTCCCAGCTTTGGTGACTTGGGGTGAGTGAGATAACAAGGAGAAACTTCTCTTGCAGTGGAAAGGGACCATTGTGTTTTCCCTCTTTCATCCCTTCCAGGTACCTAGGCCCTATATTTCCTTGTCCTTTGACATTTTGTATTTTGTGCCTTTTTATATTTCCCCGACCAGTATTGTTTGCTCTGTTGTTTGTGTTTTATGTTTTGTTAACCCCGTCTTTTGTCAAGGATTGTAAGTGTCTAACCTTTGTTGAATCCTGCCCCCTTGGGGCATTGTAGTGTCCTCTGTACCCCCTGATTATGCCTGTTATGTTCCCAGTATTGTTCCCTCATTAAAAGGTATATGGTTAAGTCCCCAGTGGTGGTCTGGCTCTGCTCTATAGGAGGAGGAGAGTCCCTAGATCTCCCACAGTGCTTGTGCACCTGCTTTGATCCCTTCAACTGGAGAGGGGATACCTCTTGGAGTACCGCCCGGGTTACACTTACATGACTTCAAGAGATAAAGACCTCCTCAATACTGCCAGCCTTTAAGGCTCAAAAATCATGTGTCGCATCCCAAAATATTGTAAGGACTCTTAAAAGTTCGGTCCTTTTAGTATGCCTTGTACTTCCCAAGCCTTCAGGGTGCGGCACTCCCTTCATGTTTACAAGCTTTTCTCCCTGGCTTGTAAACATGAAGGGAGTGCCGCACCCTGAAGGCTTTAGACCCTGGCTTTAGACCCTGGCTCTGAGGGTCTAAACTTTCTTGAGAAATAAGAAAGCTATGATATCCCTGCAGTCTCTTTGGCTGCCTATACACGTGCTCCAATACATTCTAATTAGAACGCTGCAGCAGTAAGCCCCTGTGAGTTTAAAAATGGCCGTGGGGTGCATTGAATGAGGTTTAGATAAAGCATCCTGCAGCCATTTTTAAATGCATGGAGGACTAATACATGTGACACTGTGGCACTTTAGAGTGGTTGCTTGGAAACTGCTCTAATTATAATGCGCCCTCCCCCACCTCTGAGCACATGTATAGGCAACCTTTTTTCCACTAAGGTCATGGTTCCTAACCTTTTTAGACTCAAGGCACCCCTCACAAAATGTAGGTTCTTGGAAAAAGAATAGAGCAATTCTTATGTTGCAAAGAACTCAAAAACACTACAACAGGTCGGAATACTTTTAACACTATGGATTCCTATTTGAAATCTCTGGGTTTGTTTTGTGAATCATTTTGGTATACCTAACAGTGGTAACATTGCATAGCACTGCAGCACTCCTTTAAAGGATCTCAAGGCATCCTAGCATGCCACAGCACCATGACTGAGAATCTCTTATTTGAGGCAAGGAACAACTACTAAATATCATGGGACTTGTGATAAAGTTTAATGACTTGGCAACACTACTTCTGCCCCATGGCTTGCCTGACAGATGCATATTAATTGATCAGGCTGGACTTCATATGCTCCCTCCAATTGAGGTCAGGGAGCAGGAAACCAGCCTTACCACGAAGACCATGCTCCCTTTGAATGCGTGAGCTTGGGACTAATCAGCGGGGCTTTGTTTCTGTTCCTGTTTGCCCCATTCTCTTTGTCAACAGTAAAGGCAGCTAAATTGACTGTAATCCAGAAGCAACCAGTTGTTCCACTGGGTACTTATTTCACCTCTAAATCCTGATTTCTGCAATGCCAGCAGGTCTCAACAGGTGAGAAGCATCACTCTAACTGACACAGAACAGTTACTTGCCTACCACATCAGCTAAAAATAATCTGCCCCTGCTGTTCTAAACATGTCTTTTGCTCAGTAGGTCCCCAGCCCCCTGCATGGGCAGCGTGTGCTGTAGAATAAAGACTTGTCTTGCATATTCAAGTATGTAGGCTTCTTTCTGGCTCTGATTGTGTGCCTTTTTTTTTTGGTCCTGCAGAGCAAGAGCCTTACTTCCTGAAGTCAATAAATTGTACCAACTTGACCTTGTATTAGGCTTGATTTGCTGAATGGATTCTTAATGCTTTCATACACTGCAATGGTGAGAGACAGAGAAATGCTTGTCATATTCAAGTAGTTTGCCTTCAGAGGTTAATTCAGTGGTGCACATGGACCGAGGGGGTGTGTGTGAGGAATGTAGACACCGCAGCAGGGCAGGTAGTGGTTCCTGCCTTCCCTGCAGGACTCTTGCAAATGGACGCTACTCAGTGGGTGGCTGCAGCAGGCTTTTGCCAAGCTGGTGTCAATTTAGGTTAAACCAGCTCCTTTGCAATAAGACTGTCTGAGGATGATTTGTGGTGAAACTAGAGCCTTTGCTAAACTGCCTCTTTCATCTTTCTGCCCCTGCTACAGAGAGGTCAGTAAGAAAATTCAGTATCTGTCATGGCCAATTGTACCAGTAAAAGTCAGACAGGACTGTAGAGGGGGAATCGAGAACAATTCCTTGGCTGGTGGATAATGGGTACATACCAAGAATGTGTTGAGGGCTACTGAAGAAGAGGGATCCAGTGGAGGCACCCATTTTGTGAAGGTCCCAGATGCTCTTTGAGGCTGCTGACAACAGAAGGTGTCCACTCAGGCTGGTAGAGATTTTCGCATGAATGTTGTTAATTAAATAAATGACTTTTACAAAAAACAAACCTGGGGAGGAGGGGGGAAGGCAACTTCATTAACATCTTCATGATATTTTTGCCAACATTTTTATTGAATGTATTTTTGAACTGTTTCTGTTACCAAAACATGCTGAAAGCTGGGATTATGGCCAAGGAATAATTTCAGAAAATGATTTTGACAAAAAATTCTATAAAAAAACGTTTTGGAACGTACAACAGAAATTGGAAGCCAGGCCCATTTTGAACCCTGCAAAATGAGGCAACTGTGAAATTCTGCAAATTGTCAGGGAGAAATTGATTTTCTGTCTTTTTCTTCAACCAGCTCTAGTTCCTACTAATCCAGAAACCTGGCAGGTTGAGGTGAAGATGGCACTGAGCCATTGAATTTAGGTCTAGATCAGAATTTTTCCAAATTTGGGGTTTGAAGTAATGATTAAAAGTGGATTCTGTCTTGATCAGTAGCATAACTAGGGGTGGGTGACTGAGACTTCAGCTGTGGGGCCTACTTAGAGGGAGTGCAACAGTGGTAATCACTGTCACTGCCAGCCTGTCCACCACCACTACAGCAGTTGGCTTGGCCCCTAACACTACTCTGCTGCACAGACCCTGATCATGATGCTTCATTGCTTAGTTGCTTCTTTAAAAGTATTGCTCACCATCTGCCCCCCTCCCCCACCCCCGGGTACTCCTCTCTGGCTGGTTCATAAAGTAGAAGAGAAAAAATATTAAAAATATAAAAAAGGAGTTTAGCAACAAAGGTTGCAGCTGTGCCCAGCTGCTGTACAGGACAGCTGCAGCAGAGGGGAGGAGTTTCTTGCATGCCTGCAAAGCAGCCAGGCAGATCTGGCCTAAAAAGAACAGCAGTGATCCTACATAAATAGTATATAACAAAAAAAGAAAAAAAAAAAAGGTGGGGGGCGGGGAAGAAGATTGCTGCCCGAGCTGTTATTAGCTGTGATGGACTAAACGAGCAGGATCTCCCGAAGTTTGTATTACTTGCACTGCCTCAGCAAAGGAAATAAACAATGCCTAAAATCTAATTTAACATAAAGAAGTAAGAATTCTTTATATGCTCATAGCTCAATGCTGCAAGTGCTGTTTTCCAGAAGGGAAGAGCAAGATCAAGGGACTACAGTTGGATTTTTGCCATTGAATATATGATCAAAACTACCACCTGGCTTTAGAGGGAACTTCTAGCACGGGGTGGCAAATTTTAGATTCCTGGGATCATGGAAGGAGTTAAAACCTGGTAATTATCAGCTAGACACATCTAGATACTAGGTGGCCAGGTGCAGGGATCAGATGCTTTAATAGAACAAGAAAGAAAAAAAAATCTACTTCTTATGTAAATATTAACTAAAAACATAATTAAACGTAGACTCTTCGAAGAAGCCAAGCATTTTAAAAATCAAGTCAGAGCAAGGGAAGTTCATGCACTCAACTTCTCAAGGGGCGCTTGTTTTTCTTGGCTCTGTGGACTTTCCTTTGATTCGTTTGTGCAAAGTCCAGAAGGCGTGGTTTTTATTGAAGTTGATAGGAGCTGTGGGTGCTCAGAATTGCATCAGTAGGTACAGAGGAGGAGCTGTGGTTCACCCTCGGCCTACCTTAGAAAACTGTCCTGCCTACCCTGGCTATGAGTTAGAGCCTTTATCATCACTCTAAGCCTAGGGCCACAAATGTGTCCTTAAATATGCCAAAGCACAAAAGGATTTTGCCTCCAGAGGTGCCCCATATGAGGTGTAATCAAGACACCAAAATCACTTCACAAGAAATCTTTTGACAAAAGGAGCTATTCTCTACCCTGCAACAGTGTACATTGCCTTTAATGATGACATCTATATTTTCTGGGACAAAAATCAGGAGGCAGTCTCATTTTGTGATATTGAGGAGGACAAGGTTTCCACAGGGGATGAGCTAAAATAAATGCTAAACAAAGCCATTTTCCATCTGACACCTGAACCCCTACTCTGTGTAACTGATTTGTCTGTAGTGTGGTTTGCTTTCATTATTCAATCCTTTGCTTCCTTTAATTTCTATAGATGTTAGTGCTTTAAGATATTCAGATTCTATTTTTACTGTTTCACCTTGTCACAAAGAACAACATTTTCAAGAGCCCCCCCATGGAATGGCTTGGCACTCAACAGCCACTGAAAGTCCCTTTAGAGCCCAACTCCATCAGGTGTCTTGGCAAACCCCACCCAATATCACTAAAGATGGAGCACAGCCACTGTACTTAAAGATCTTCTCCTCGCCACTTTCCAAGTGGAAGACAAGTTATGGTTTGCTTTTGAGTCTGAAATATTTTTCAAAATGAGTTATGTTTGACGCTGGTGCCAATCTTGTCATTCTTGGTTCTTGGCACATAGGCAACACTCTAAGAAAATGGATTTCACTGGGTTTGTGAGATCAGTTTTTTGTGTGACTGTATTTCAGAAGCTTATCTCAGTGGTATTAATTACATGAAATCTCTTTTCTCAAAAAATATGGGTGTAATCTTATGCACACAGGGGTAGCCACAGTCCTGTGGGACTATTCACCTGAAAAAAGTTCCTAAGATCCAGCCTTTTTGTCATTTTGTATCCTGTTTACAGGGTATAGCTGAAATTCATAGCAAAGCATTTAAAAACATTCATGTTGGTTGTGGAGTCTTAAGTAACTTGTGGAATCTTATTTTTCCCTTCCCTTTCCTTACAGTCAATGTCTAAGCCAAGGATTGCCGTTATTGGTGCTGGCTTGATTGGCCTTTCCGCAGCAGTATGCATTTCAGAAACTATCCCTACATGTTCTGTGACTATAATTTCGGACGAGTTTACTCCTAACACAACAAGTGATGTAGCTGCTGGGATGCTTATTCCACATACATATCCAGGTGAATTAAACTTCTGCTTGACATGTAGTTGTAAAGTTCAGGTTTAGGCTTTGCTCTTCACATCTATCAGATTGATATTGAAGATGAACTATCTGCTTGCTTCTGATTAGTTTAGAATATATGTCTTCAGTCCCTACTTTCTGAAGTCATGGTGGGGGAAACCCAGTGTTTTAGGTTAGTGCTAGTGACTAGGCTGTTCTGGTGTGCGCACTGTTAAACTCTAAAGATGTTTGGGGGTAGTCTCAATTCTTTAAGGCTTTTCTTTATTTTCAATGAAAACACCTCTGTTCATATGCCTGTTTCAATACTTACTGTTGTATAGTGTTTGCTGAGAGGATGGGCATGATTACAAATAATAGTTATTGCACTTCCAACAAATTAGCTAACCATCTCTGTGATCTGTTGAGTTAACAGTCTGCAGACAAACAGCTACTTTGTGACTTTTAGCCCATGGCCTTCACTGCAGCAGGATGGCTATAGTCTGCCCCAGTGGGAAAACAGAAAGGCTTATATCTCAATGGAAAAGAGAAAACACCCTCAAAAGTAAATGTTTCTGCAGTGGCCTCTACCTGACTGTTTGCAATTCCTTGTACATTTAATAATAATGATAATATATTATATGAGAAAAACAGCAATACATTCATCTGTACACTTAACTAGAGAAGCAATGGTAGAGGATATGTCTTATGGAAAAGGTGCTTGAGTTCATGTTGTCCTAGGAAAGGTACTTTTTGCATTTCTTTACTTTGACATTCTGGTATTAAATTACACAGGCCTGAGACTAAGGATTTCAGTGGGCTGGTGTCTGTGCCTGAGGATCAGGCCTTAATATTGCATTAATATATACTTTTCATTAATACATAGCTCAGCACTGTAGTCTGTGATGAGAACAACGGCAGCCTGGTGGTAAATATTAAAGGCCCAGTAATGCAAGGTGCTGAGTTCTTCCTTTGAAGACCAGCACAGTCTGTGAGAGTTGAGGACACCCAGCACTGTACACAAGGTGCAGAAAACCTGTACACAAGGCTTTGGATCTTTTAAGTACCTAGGACCAGTTTAAATTCAGATGCGTTTTTTATTTATAGTGCACACTTTTACGTGGTAGTCTGCCGCGTTTAACCATATAGAATTGTTATTCCTATTTCTTTTGACTCTTCTCTGATACTGATTTGGGAGTCTTTGCCTGATCTACATTTTCCTTCTGTGTAACTTGTGTTGTATTTCATAACTAGGTACACCAATTTATCAGCAGAAGCAGTGGTTCAAGGAGACCTTTGATTATCTCTTTGCAATCAATAATTCTTCTGAGGCTCCCAGTGCTGGCATTAGTTTGGTATCTGGGTAAGAAAAGAACTGTCAAGAAGTTTTTCACATTGGTATACCACAAACTGGGATACGCAGGGCATCTATTCACATTGTGGTAAAGGGACTCTCCTTATTTGGAACTTTTCTTGTAACTATATTCAAAATAAGCTACAGCTTTAGGAAACATTCAGTCAGACAAAGTGTCTTTTGAAGCAAAAACCATGCAAAGGCACAAACAGACAAATCAGGGCTCTCTTCCCCTAAATATAACTTGTAGCCTGCATTTTCTGGACAATCATCCTTTAGTTGCTCAAAATATAGGTGGCCTGACTAGCAATGGGATATGTAAGTTTGCATGATCGTCCAGCTCTCATAACTAAATATAAAACACAGTGCATGCTTGCTACCCAATATGTGGAGAAAGATTTGACTATTCTGGGAGCTGAGGTAACGTAGTGGGCACCTGAAAAAAAGTGTGGTCAGGGTTAGATGTGGGACACTACAAGAGGTATTTATAGTCTATAGGAAGAGAATAGGAGTTAATAATTTATTATGAGAGGAGCAGTTACTACTTCCCTAGCAGTTAGAAATATGCTGAACCGGGAGAATGTGTGCATAATAGAAGTTTGGCTTTTGAAGGCCAGGGGAGAAAAGATTTTAGTTTGAACTGGAAAAAGGGAAGCAAATCTTGTCTTATATATCTGGAGTTGAGTCCTGATATTGAAGTTGTGATTTGGATCTGGATTCAGATCAACAAGTTCACACTGGGATCTGAACCCGTTTCTAGATTTAACTTGAATGATTCAGCCAGTGGTGCTCAACTTTTTGGCTTGGCACACAGGGCTGGATTGGACCCTGTGTACCAGGATCAGGCCCAGATACCTGGATCAGGCCTGTGTGGCCTTAGCTGGCCCCCTGCATGCTGGGATAAGGCTTCAGCTTCTGTAGCACTCCTGCCCAGTCCTGCAAGCTGGCATTAGCCCCGCAGTCCCACACCGATCCCCCACATGCTGAGATGGGGCCCTGGGGCCTGGTGCTACTTCTGTTCAGCCATGATGGCAGAATCAGGGTCCTGGAGCCCCATACGACATTCAACAGGCTTTGTATGCTGGCACAGATCACTAGGGCTCCACACTGGCCCTACTCCCACATGCTGAGATTGGGGCCCTGGAGCTTTGCATCTCCTCTGTCCAGCTCATGTGCCAAGATTGGGGCCCTGGGGCCCTGCACTGCTTCTGCCCAGCCCTGCATGCCAGAATCAGGGGACCTGAAGCCCCATGCTGCCTCTGCCTGGCCTTGTGTGCCAGAAGTGGGGCTTAGGGGCTCCACGCCCCACTTTCCAGCCCAACATGCCAGGATTGGGCTACATATACCAGACCTAGCACACAGGGCTATCGTCCATGGGGCTCCCCATAGACCTGTGGGGAGCCCCATAGGCTGGATGATGGTGCTGGGAACCAGATCTGGTCTGCGAGATGGGGGCAAGTACCCCTAGCCTAAGCATTTGCAAAGAATTTCAGCTATCAGATGAAAGGTTCCTGGACTGCAGAAAGAAGAAAGTGTTAATGATTAATGTAGGCCCTCTCCAGTAGAGTTTCTGTTCTAGGTAAAAATGGTGACAAAAAAGAGGATACAGAACACATTGTGGTGGGAGAAAACTCCCTGGAGTTCATTGTCTAGCTGTATAGGAACTAGGCAACACGGGTAAAGTTTTTTTACTGCAGGATATTTGCTGGAGCAATGACCATTAATCTAGTAAAGAGGTAAAATGGTCCCCCTTAAAGGGTGGGGCGTTTTTTTTTATACTTTTTACAACAAGGCAAGACTACAGGGTTAATAAAAGCAATACTTGGGCGGTGCTTCACAGATCTTCATAACAGCATATTTCTATTAAGCTGAACTAGCACTTTTTAAAAGTTAAAAGTTTAGTAACAGTAACATTATGATATGTTAGCAAAACTTGCACAGTGGTAGATACTTCTTAAGGACACGATCACTGTATTTAGAACAATGGCTTCTTTGTTTTATCTTGTTCTTTGCTGTAGCTGATTTTACAGTACACAGACACAGATTCACTTGCTGCATTTTACTCAGAAAATGGTTAATACAGTTAAAATGATTACTTAACATAAGCAAAGGCTTAGCTATTATTCTGCCCTGTGGTTAGCAACATTGCTAGGCCACAGGTCATGTCTTGTATTTAGCTGTAAAGCTAATACTTCTTAATAATCTAAATTATTGTTAACCTAGCAGCATGCTATCAGAAAACTATTTTATTTCAGGGTAATAACAAACATGCCCACCACAACATTATCCTGCTGTTTCCCCCTGTCCCTCTACCCATCATATTAAATCCTCTGTTACCACATTATTTTCTTTTTCCCGCTTTGTTTGGTGATTATAAGCTGGTTGCTCTCAGAGGCCTCACTGAGTTTTATCTGTCCTGGTCCTTCACTCTGAGTTCTACAATAACACTGCTAAACATTTCTGTAAGTTAAGTATCATCTATGAATTCTTCCACATCGTTACTGTTGACACTTGAGGGGCCCCATTAGTCAGTGGAATCTGATTCCTAGATTAATATTTTAAAGCTGAGATCAATGTGAATTGTGACACACTGGAGCATGTGCCTTAATCTCACCATTTCTCCTCCATGTCCTTTAGCTGGCAGATCTTTAAAACCAGCTCCAGTGCAGAGTTACCCTTCTGGTCTGACATTGTGTTAGGATTTCGGGCAATGACAGAAATGGAACTGAAGAAATTTCCACAGTATCGATTTGGCCAGGCGTTTACTACCCTGAAATGTGACTGTCCATCCTATCTGCTCTGGCTGGAGAAGAGGTGGGTGCTGTTGGGGAAGGGAGTGAAGAGTGGTATTTTCTGACAACCACAAATTGGGAAACCATGTTCTAAGAAGGAAGTTGAAAACTAGAGAGGGTTCAGGTGCAAGCAACAACGATGATATAGGCGTTGGAGAGAGAGCTATATGAGGAAAGGCTGAAGGAATTATGGATGCTTAGTCTGGAAGAAAGAAGGTTAAGATAGGTAGTGATAACAATTTTCAAGTATTTGAAAAACTACCATAATACTGATGGAGAAGCATTGTCCTTCCTTGCACACTGTTTCAATCGAAAAATCTCATATTTCAGAATTGGCTGGCCTAATTCCTCTCCAATCTGGACAAAAACCTCTCTTCTACTCTACCCACCTCACAAAGCTACTTGGAATTAGGGGTAAAATATTCTCCCATAGCAAACCTTTCAGAAATATTCACATGTGAAAAGTGTTTGACTTATCAGAAAAAACATGTGCTTTAAAATATATGTTTATGCAGAAAAAGAAAGTTGGAAGTTTTAGTAAAACCAGGGACACCCCCCCCCCCCATTCACTTCCATGTGCCATTCATTTCAAATAATTTTGGGAGAGTCAAAAAGCCAATCCAATAACATTCTGAGCCCTGGTATGTATATAATTCAATTAAATAGACCAGGGGTTTTCAACCTTTTTTAGCAAGTGTACCCCTTCTGGTGGCAGTGGCTAGATGCTGGGTGTGGCGGGGACGAGTATGACGTTTTTCCAGTGGTGGCCTGGAATGATCCAGTTTGGTCCAAAGAAAGCCAGTGGTAGGACACAGCTGCAGCAAGGTGCAGATGAGGCCCATGCTGCCAAAGCCTCCTGGCTCCAGGCTGATCCAACAGCTCCCTGGGCCAGATGCTGGCCATGATGCCAACCCCAGTTTAGACAGCTATAAACAAGTATGGCCAGCCCTGACAGAGGCCTCTCGCACCTGCCTGTTCATGTTGGTTTTGATTTACAGATGCAAAACTAGCTGTTGCAAGGGGACTGGGCCTGTTGCAGTGAAACCTGAGGTAGCACCACAGACCCCACAGGGGTCCCTGACCAGACAGTTAGGCAGTGCATGTGTAGCCCACAGAGGGGTGCTGCTGCCCTCAGGCCCCCCCTGGCCCTGCTCCTGGGAGCGGGCACAGAGAGCAAGCTGAGATGTTGGGTGGGGAGGCACTGTTTGTGCCACCTGACTTCTGCACTATCTCATAAGAACACATGCCTTGTCATGTTTCATTGTCCAATACTGATACTGAAAACTGTCAGTTGCACAACTGAATTGCTGACTCCATTTAGTTGCTGTCAGGCATTCTTTGCCCCAAAGACTTTTGTAGCTTTCTTATTCCTTTTTATGCTCTTTTCATTTCTCAAAGGATAAAACCTAGTAACGTGATCTGCATATTTTCCCTTCTGTGAGGATCAGGGAAAAGAGCATTTTAAACACGTAACTAATTCTGCAAACCCAAGTGATTTGAGAGGTCTTAACAGAACCTTGCTTGGACTGCACAAATGATCGTGTATCAGACTGTCTTTCTAGGCTGGCTCCAATCTTACAGTTCAAGAACTTTCTCTCACTGCCTTGCTTGAATTCTGTAGGATGTTTAATGGTGTTTGAAATCTCACCCTGTCTTTGCCAAATACAAAAGCCTTGTGTGGTATCCCACTACAGAAAAAGTCAACCTGTACCTACAACATATGTTGCTTGACTTTTCCCTAGCTCTCAGGGTTCTCTCTGCTTCACCCACCTGCCAGACTCTCAGTTTAAAGGTAAGCAAGATGCATTGATATTGCCAATTGACAATATGCAAATTATTCTGCCAGATTCTCATGTCACAAACAGCTCTGCTGGAGCCTGCTGCCTTTGCATTTGGATACATAGCTGTACCTGCTGTCTGAAAGGAAGACTGGAGTGTAAAAGGATAACAGACTCTACTGCATAGCAAATTGATATGGGACCTCTCCCATGAATTATGTTACTGTCAGGTGCTGAAACAACGCTAATGATACAGAATAATTTTTCTCAATCACAGTGACAGAGGGCTACTGTTAACTTCTATCCCGGGTCTGACAGGGGTGGAGCATTTCTCTGAGAACAGGGAATTAGAGGAGTCCTGCAGAGAGAAACAATAATTTTAAGGCAAGTTCAAGATGAAGGATAGGTTGACATTTAAATTAACAATAAAGGCAAACCCCAGGACAGAGGTAAGTATTGGCTGAAAAAGTGGTATATGTGGCTAACCTCTAGCAAAACAGAGCTGGAGGTTATGCAGTAAATTACATCACCCCAACCTTCATTAGAGAGCCACTTTCAGAGTCACTGGGTGCATCTACACATATACTTTACTATGGAGTTGACAAATTAGCTCCACAGTAAAGCATCACCATCTACATGTGTGCCAGTACTAGAGCACAGTAAATTAATTAATTCTGCTATAGGAGCATGCGGTCGGGGACAGTACTATCCTATGGCAGAGTAATTTACTCTGCCAAAATGCACATGTAGAAGGTGACAGGGGCTGGCTGGGGCACAAAGGTGCTGAAGTGCAGGGGCTGCCTGCTACTTCCATTCTCTCATGCCCCAGCCAGCCCTGACTGCCGCCTGGGGATGACTCCCTGAGCCTACTGTCAGCCCAGAGCTGCTCTACCCTGGCTCAAAGTGCTGTGGTCCTGGGCACATGTATATACGCTGTGCCCGGGAGCAGCTGACTCCAGCACAAACTGCACTGAAGTTTATCGTGTCCATTAATTGCATGTGTAGATGCACCCACTGTGAATTTATACTTACCACATCTACAAATAAGGCCTGATTTTTCTCTCTCATGCAGTGTATACTGTCTTTGTGCCCTTGTAAATGTTATATTTCATACCAGCCCCCAGTTTAGCCTAATTTTCAACTGAGGGTCCTAAGTTTGAGAGGAATGCAGTATAAGGGAGTCTCTACAGAAAAAAGAAAGATGCTTCAGAAAAAAAAGAAACAAGGATCTTTTGATTTTAGTGTTTTGAAAGTGTACATTCTGATAGAGGAAGTGTGGAGCAACAGGCAAGATTTCTTGATATGCATGCTCAGTAACTGGTCAGACTTATTCATAGTAAGCTAAATTCCAGCTCACTTTCACACACCTAAGCTGCACTTAACGCAGCAGCAATATAACAGTAGCTTTTGGCACTATATCAGTATAAATGGACAAAAGCACAATTGCCTTAAATCTGAATGAAACACGTTAAGTTAGACTAGTTTAATTCAGCTTATACTGATATTGGAGCAGACAGACAAACAGTTGCATCAATTCAGTGTGATATAGTAAATCAGTATAATTTTAAACTGGTTCATCTATCTTTACCCTAATTCATGTGAGTCATAAATAGAACCCCAGTGCATGTACTTTCACTTTTGTTCAGCTTGCATTTTTGTTTCACTAATCAAAGGATATTTTGATGGTAAATTGTCATGCTTTACCTCCAGTGCTTTTTTAAAATTATTTGTTTGTTTTTTGTAGGTTGAAAGGAAATGGGGGTGAGGTGCATGCTAAACGAATAGCAAACCTGTGGGATCTGCAGAACAACTATGACATTGTTGTCAATTGTACGGGCATTGGATCCAGACAACTTATTGGTGACTTAAAGATATACCCTGTCAGAGGTCAAGTGCTCAAGGTTCATGCACCTTGGCTAAATCACTTCATCCGGGATGGAGATGGATTAAGCTATATCTACCCAGGAATACATAATGTAACGTTAGGCGGGACAAGGGAGAAGGGCAGCTGGAATCTGTCCCCAGATCCTAACATTAGCAAAGACATATTTGATAAATGTTGTGCTCTTGAACCCTCACTTCAAAAAGCACAGGACATAAAGGTGAGGGTTGGTCTGCGGCCATCCAGGTTAGCTGTGAGGCTCCAGAAAGAGATACTGGTCCAAGGTGAGAAAAAATTGCCTGTGGTCCACAACTATGGACATGGTTCAGGTGGTTTTTCAATGCACTGGGGCACTGCCAAAGAGGCTGCCCGACTGGTGGGAGAATGCATTGCTACTCTGCAGGACTCTCTTTCAAAGGCCAAGCTCTAAACTAAATGGCCTCCTTTTTCAGTTAGCAGTGGGATAATGATGAGTACATCTACATGCCACCCTCTGGTGACATTGTTGATGTGCTGTGCTTTAGTACTTCCTTTTGGGTTTTATTTTATTAATAGATTTATTGGGCAACGCCATCCAAAATGAAGTACTAAAGCACGGCCCAGTGTTGCACTACATCATCCCCAAGGAAGTACTAAAGCACAGCACAGTAACTGCCCAGACTGCGCCGTACGCGTGGCGCACGGTTATTTTTAGTTGCTACTTTGCCATAGTATCATGTTATAATGGGGAAGTGTGCCACTACTGTGAAGTAGCTACCGGTTACGTGTAGACCAACATGATGGATACATCGCCGTAATGTGTCACTACAATGACGTAGTGTGACATGTAAATACTCCCATTAAATCTATTACTAAAATCTTCAGAATGTTGTTCTGAAGCAAATGTAAGGGTCCGTGTGCCATTTTTGCCCATGGCTGAGTTCCAGTTGGCCACAGGAGACCAGAGGGAAGCCAGAGAATTTCTCTGGAATAATCTTATCCAAGCAAATCAAATTAAAGCAACTTCAGGTTTGCTTTAATGTATGTTGCTTTTGAAAGGTCAGTAATGGACCATCCATCAGTGAAATGAGTTCTGCTCTACTTTGTCCCTTCCAGGCCTAACATACCTCCAGCAAACCCCTTCTCCTTCCAGACTTCTCCTCTTCAAGGAGTAGGAGGGCAGCTGGCACAGGAACCAATCTGTTGCTTACCTCTGCAAGGATGACAAAAGACATAGGCTCATAGTAGAGAATCTGGCACTGTCTCTTTCCTTTAGCTAAGAACATAATTCCAGAGTTAATTCAGTATAAAATTAGCTATCTGAGGGACAGAATCAGCATGTTAACACAGATAAAGAAAAAAAGATCCCAAACAAATTTAAAAAACAATACTATATTGATGATTTGATATGATCACTTGAAAGATTTCTTCTCTAAAAAAGTGTGTAGACTGTAGATCTTCTCCAGAGGTTCATTAATGCAGAGTAATGCTTCACAAGCCACATACCTGATAACAATGCACCTACACATAGCACTGCAGTTGGATTCAGACACTTGGTTATGCAGTGAGTACCAAAAATCTCTGCAGAAAAAGCTTTCACCAGAAAATCCTACATCTGCAATTGCTTTTATCTAGTCCATCTAGTTTCAGTAGTTCCCAACATTTTATGTAACTCTTTGTTTATTTCCAGTAATGGTTTTCATATTGCAAGCTACAGTATGACTCAATGCATTAGCATATTTTAACTTTTGATACTAGAAATAAAACACAATACTCAGTGGGTCTGGACTGCGTTTGCAAATGGCTATTCTCTCATTTGTGTAATGAATGTATTATGCATACCTGAGAATGTTAACGTTCATTAGAAATGCCAGGCTGAGCAGCCTCTGCCCAGACAGTGATATCCCCTTTTTTATCATAGGACAGAACAACATTCAGTTCTTGAGCCACACTAACTTCCTCAGTTCTGACCTGGAGGAACTATCTTTGGAGTAAGCCTCAGGGCTGCTTATTCTTGATTGCATGAGTCAAAAAGCAAGGCTTTCAGCTATGGAGCCCTGGTGTATGTAAATGTCCTGGCCACTTTTTCCCTTTTCCTAAACAATCTTATGCAGGGTACTGGAGACCACTGTGATAAATATATTCTGTTCAGGAGTTCCATGACCATTATGATCTTAAAGCCATATATGCCAGCTCTATAGCTGTTTGGCTTCTCTGAAACAATGGAAGCAATTGGAACAGAACTGAGGATCCACTCTAGCATATCTAAAAGTTTATATAGCCAGGCTCAATGGCCAAGTCCTATGGTCCCATATTCTTCATCTGGTATTCTCATTGCTATGAAGATTTACTGTAGTTTATGTTGAAGGAGACTGTAGGTAAGTAAATATCCTTCATATAGTGCAAGCCAAAGCTATTGCAGCTGGAATTCACGTGTATGTGTGTATGCATGTGCACACACACACACACACCCACCCCTTATCAGAAATTAGCTTCTTCCACAGAGCTGATGCTACAATACAATAAAAATTAGGGTTTTTTCTAAATTGTTTTCAGTGGTTGTGTCTACATGAGCATTTGATCTAGAAGCAGTTTACTCATAAGTAAAATACTCATGGGTAAATGCCCCTAGGCAGGTGTCTACACATGCAGGGACTCAGAAGCAAATTTGCTGCTCATGACGGCAATCTGCTCCCATCCCTGCTGGCCCTGCAACAGCCCCTGCAGCAACCTGGGTGGAGCTCTAGACCCGCCCTGGGTGCTAGCCCAGAGGCTGGCATGGGGCCAGGAGACAGGTATCTCCTGGAAAAGATAAGAATCTCCCAGCCCCCACTCCCCAATCATGGTATGTCCCCTGCTGCTTGGCTGACCAAGAGCACATTTGCTCATAACAAGAGCAATTTACTCGTGATAAGAGCAGTTTACTGTGCAGTAAGCATGTGCAAGTGTAGACATGCACGCTTACTGCACAGTGAACTGCACTACTGCGCAGTAAGGCATCTTGTGTAGACGTACCCAATGTAGTCTAATTCTCTCCTGCAATTTCCCCAACTTTCACTGTATTTACTTTATTACAATGCAGAATTGTGCAGTGTGTTTAATTTATGGTTTTATTTGCATCACTGAGATTCTGGTGGCTGCATAATCTTACACCACAATGCAGACCATTCTAAGAAAACTATTTCTAGGGAAACTGATAATATTGTATACAGTTCTGTGGGGCTTGTCTTTTGTCTTTGTGCAAACATCTTGTTTTTACCTGAGTCTTTCAGGCTTTGCTGCCATGTGTGCCATCTTCAGGTTTTTCCCTGTCACCTGCAGCCCTGGCATTTCTGTCCCTTACAGAGTTGGGTTGTTCTTTGCGTTTTTGAACATGAACTTGTACAGGGCTTACTTAGCCTTCAGATTCTTCTTGCTACTTTTTCACAGGGTTTGTCAATCTGGATCCCTCCTCACCTTGGGCTGATGTGAACACTCCAGAAGGACCACAAGGATCTTAAATTAAACTTTATAATAAAATGTATAAACATTAGGGTTATTCAAGATAAAAACTATAAAGACAAACAGCTAGAACTGAACATGAGACTATTATGGAAGTGCTGCTTGACATTTCATCGCTGAACTGAGTTAAATTTTGCATTGAAAACATGGATTCAGCCATTTGTTATTTATAAAGTTTACAGTGCATTATCCCCAAAACACTTGCTTTTTAATTACAGAATAAATTTTCTGAGATTTTACAAGTAAGTCTGTTATTTAGTTTATGAGTTAAAAATACTTTAAAAGCAACTCATTAGGAAATTTAGCACCCCATATCAATCATTTTTATCCCAATTTATCTCCATAATAAGCTAAAACATACAATTCGTTAGGCTAGATTTGATTTTTCTTTTTGGATTAAAAGTCGTTTTTGCTGTTATTTCTCATAACTGGAAGTATCTCATTTAGTAAGTGTTGTGAAGTAATGCTATTCTACAGAGGATTCCACAAAAAATGCATAATTTAAAAATAGCTTCCAAATCCTATCACTCTCACTGAGACCTAAGCTATAATTAAGCTTATAAAGTATGTCTTCCTACAGTTTTCAAAAAAAGTTAAAGTCAAAGTGGTCCTTGAAAACAAAAGGATGAGGCAATTCAAGTAAGGGGAATAATGAAGGGAAAAAAATACAAAAAACCCAATCAAACAAAAAACTCCTAATAAAACCAACTTGATATGGTTTAAAAAGCAGTTTAATAATCTGGAACAAGAAACACTATTCTGCATTAATCATAATAACTACATGCTTATTGCCTGGTGTTACTACAATGCAGTGTTATAACCCTAACTGTGCAGTTCTATGTCTTAATGCATTTGGATTTCTTTTCAATTCATCTTAATTCTGAACATCTTGAGTTTGTGACTTAACCCATACTTAATCAAAGATGTTTTGCCTCCTTCTAATGGTCAGATCATACAGAGATTTAGGAATTTCCTATGGCCTCTGCATTATCACGCACGAGTGTTGTAGCCAAAGAAGTAGAAACTCATGCTTTTAGAATCAGAGTTTCAGGTTTTATTCTTACTACCAAGATTCACCCACATACCATATGTCTTATTACATATGTTTTTGAGATAGTTACAATATTTCTGTAATGTTTTCACCATTAAGTTATTGCTATGTGCTCTCAACCTTACAGATCTCCATTTCCAATATTTTCATCTGCTAATCTAAGGAAGGTGCAATCCCCCAATTGCATAGTAGAGAAAAAGAAATTCATATTGTTTACTTCAGTAGCCCAACCTTAACTGCTATTGTGTGGTTTTCGATCATCAGTCATGTGAGGATCTTCGAGATCCCATCCTAAGATCCTTTCCAGATAGTCTCTGAGGTAAAGGTTTTTACTTGTTCTGTTTTGTTAGCTATGTAGTTCTTGTATAAGTGTGAAGGATAATTATATGCCTGCATGTACCTGTAGCAATTTGCAAACTTTACTTTGGGTGTTTATACATGTGCTCTGAGAGGTGTGTGTGTGTGTGGGGGGGGGCACTTTAATTAGTGAGCCACACTAATTAAAAGTGCCCGAGCGTCATGTGTATCAGAATCCCCATGCTGAAAAAATTGTGGCAGGGCACTTTGAACTAAAGCTTATTCAACAAGCATGAGGTCAAAACACCCTGCCACCATTTTTCAGCCCAGGGACGCTGATGCATGTGATGCTGGAGGCTGCTAGAGCTCATTAATTTCTGTGCTCCAGCAGACTCAATTAATCACGTCTGCTCCAACACACTGGATTTACAGCACATCAGAGCAGTCTCCCTGCATATGTGGAAGTGCCTGTTGTTTTGTGAAGGCCATTTTGATCGTATTTCCTCTCTGTGCCTTCACCTTGGCTCTGGAGCTTCCATACTGAGCTGAATTATGTAGAATGTGTCAGGAGAAATTCTTGCCCCTGGCAGAAAGTTACAAGTGAAGGATTATTAGACCTTGATGGTCTTCCATTCAAATAAATTACAATGGGTATGTCTACACAAGACACTTAACAGCTAATTAGCATAGTTTACTATGAAGTAAGCACATGGTTTACATGTGCACATGCTTACTTCACAGTAAATCTCCCTAATCCTAAATAAATTTGCTAACTTCAAATGCAAGTAGCAAATTTACTTGCCTTTAGTAATGATGCCGTAGCTTTCATGTAGATTCCTGGCTGGGAGCCAAATCTGCTCCCAGTCAGCTGTCCAGGACTGGGCAGGAGATAGTTCCCTGTTCCTGGGAACTGCTTTGCCACAGGAGCCCGGGTGGGGATTATGTCTCCCTGCCCCTGCAGCAGGGAGCTCCAAGCTCCCAGATCCCAATCACAGAGCAGGGCCTGGGAGATCCTTATTTCCCAGCCCCTGCTCTGCCATCGTGATTGGGAAGCAGGGGGCTAGGAGACCCTTATCTCCCAGTCTGAGCCCCATGGTCACAGGGCTCAGGCTGGAAGACCCTTATCACTCAGCAGCAGCTCCATGACTGCGGGGCCACTGCTGGAAGATGCATAGCTCCCAGCCTGAGTCCTGCAATTGCAAGCTTCCTAGCTTGTTCCCTGCCCAGCTCCACACTCAGAGACCTAGGTGAGGAACAAGCTCCCCAGCCCCCACCTGCAGGAAGCTCCCAGCACTGGCTCTGCAACTGCAGAGCCACTGCTGGGAGATGCTTGTCTCCCAGCCTAAGCCCCCTGGTTGCAGGGCTTGGGCTGGAAAATGCTTATCTCCCAGCAGTGGCCCTGCAGTTGCTGGCACCAGGAGCTCCCTGTAATTGGGGGGGGTGGGGAGCTTGTTCCTTGCCCAGCTCCATAAGTGTGGAGCTGGAGTGGGGAACAGGCTGGGGAATCTTGTTCCCCCTTCAGCTCTGCAAGCGTGGAGCTGAAGGGGGAACAAGCTCCCCAGCCTGTTGCCTCCCCACCGCCAGCTCTGTGCTCACAGAGCTTGGTGGGGAACCAGCTCCCCAGCCCCCACTCTGCAATTGTAATTGGGATTGCAGAGCAGGGGCTGGGAGCTCCCTGGATGGGGGCAGTTCCCCACCCAGCCTGGACCTGGCTGAGATCTGCCTCTGACTGGGACAGTTCCCAGCCATCCCCAGGCTGAGTGGGGAAGCATGTGAAGCCTGGAGGTATTTGGGGACTGTCCTGTTTCAGGCAGTCCCCAGCCAGCTCTGGGCTGCACATGCAGATTTCCCCATGCAGTCTGGGGCTGGCCGGGTACTGTTGTGGTAAGGGGTAGGTCCTAGCCCCTTGCCTTAGAGAGAGCTGCAGGGGTGGGGCAGG